AAATAGATGTTCGGGTGACCATTCGAAATCTATTGGCCAGTCGCTTAGTGATTAAATTAATAAACTTCTCGTGATTAGCTTGCAGTTTCAAATCCCTGTTTATCCGTTCAAGTCTGCATATTTGGATTGTGTCACCGTCTCCTAAACAAATTAGGGCTTTGGAGTCTCTCTCTAACCATAATCTATTTTCGATCAGCGTCAACTCTTGACTATCATCTCTCATGCATTATATGTTGTTTTCAGTGAAACACATGTTTTAGTTTCGGTTATAGTTATAGTCGGTTGTAATCGGTGATAATAGTTCTTCGAGGAGGGTTTTGAGGTCATATCAAACTTTTTTACACAATCGATGCTTATAACCCTGAATTAATCAAATATTTCATATAGGAATATCAGTGGTTTTTAGTTCAAACTTATCACTCAACTGTTTAGCGTTGACTGTTCATTCTAATATACAAAATATTTAACTCTCAATAGACAGACAAGAAACATTTTCATTCAAGACGTTTTCTAAATGCTGACGTCCATTTGTAAACTTTTTATAACTAAATTATCTATTGAATTAGCCTTGTATATTTTGATTGTCATAGTGTCATGACCTAAAATCAAGGCTTTTAGTGAAAGACACTAAACAACGAATGACACTGCGTAATAATCGTGCTATGGTAAAATAGGTGGTGATATCTAGCATAAGAACACAAGGTCGTTTAAATTTCGAATACTGTTTGATTTCGAAGAAAACGTAAATATAGAAGATGACTGTCAGCAATAATTAGCTCAGTTTTGATAAAGCTCACAATCACAAACTCAGTAGCAACAGTTAAGTTTCATCACAAACAAATTCAGATTTATTCAATTCAATACAGCTAAAGATATGCATTAATTTGATTACTGAGTGAGCGGTTCACTATTACCCAATAAAATATCACAACTTATGTGATAACTAACTAATGCTGGTCTAACAATGATTGATTGATGATTTGAAATGCGCAAGAACACAAATCCCCAAACCTGTAACTGAAAATTCGTAACATGTGCTCACTAGTGACTATGTTTGTGAGGAAATTCCCGGAGTCCTAGTGAGAAGACGTGACCAATGAAGTTCAAACCTGTCGGGTGTAGGCAGTAACTACCAAAGACAAATGGGTGAGCGCAAAATCCTTAGTTCAATCAGAGCTAGACATTAACACCGTTAGATGCCGGCCTATAGGTCAGATGGTTGGGCGTTCGCACACAATACCGAAAGTCCGGGTTTCGAATTCTGCGTGGTGCAGGAGTCCTGGATGCGCACTGCTGATGAGTCCCATACCATGACTTGACGGCCGTCCAGTGCTTTCAGGTTTCTAATGGTGGTCTAACAATGACTGTCTGATGATTTCAGATGTGCGAAAACACAGATCTCCAAAACTCTAACTAAAAATAACTTACAAATTACATTTAAGTAATATATAACACGCAAATATAACAGATCGCACGCAAATCCTATACAAATTGACTAAAGCTGAGTTGGAGATTATTGCATTCCAATCCAATGAGCCAAAATTACCGGACTTAAATGTTCTTAGTTCCATCCTGTTCCATTTTAAAACTATGCATCGTCTGACATATTTCAAAAGTAACTTAAAGGCCTTTCAATCGCTGAAAATTTTTTTTATATCATATTGTGGTACTGTGGTGCGAACTACTTATAAGTAGTATATAACGTGAGTGTCAACGTAATGTCTGGTAGCATAATATTGGGGGAAGATCAAGAAAGGAAGAGTTAGAAAACAATGGAATTTGTATGAAACCCATGAATAGTGACAATGGATTGATGTTTGGCAGCAGGAACAGTCCAGTTCCATAGGATGAACTGATCTTTTGCAAATGAACGATTTACGATATGGTTTTCCGATTTTACTGAGTAACTATGTAATTTTCGTTAAATACAATTCAGTTGCCCCCACCTGTGTTCTCATTCACTACAATATCACTGTACTCGATATGATAACATTATGTGATTTGATAAATTACGTTGGTTGATCTTACATTGTTATTTCTATCTTATATAGTTAGACACATTTATGTTAAGTATACAAAGTAAACTGAATCATGTGATCCAGATTGTGAAGTAGGTTATTTTCTATTTCAATACGCAATTAATCTTTCTATCTGTGAATGTGACTTCCTCGTTCACTCTTTCTTTCTTTCTCTTTCTCTCTCTTCATAAAATAATATCAGCATGAGAAACGAAAAATTCAAGCTTATTTATTACCGTTATGTGAAGAATTGAAACGACGTTTGGAACATGATAAGAAAAGTATTGAAATAACTTTAAACGCAAATTACTTGATCATGCTTGGGGGCTTTCTTAAAAAGAAAACAGTTTCTTATTTTATGATGTCTGCCATCATTCTTTTATGGGTTTAGGTTGAATGGTACATTGTCTCATAACAATAATACCACTACTACTACTACTACTAATGATAATAA